CGGGTCGGCGGCGGGCGGGTCTCGGCGGTGTCCACTCCGCGCTCAGCGCCGCGCCGGAGGAAGTAGGCAGCGCGGTCCCCGGGCCGCGCGCTCTTCTGGAGCTGGGGGAGGGCCGGAGGGGCCGGGGGAGGGGACAGCGGTGACGGAGCGCCGGAGGAGGAGCGAGCGGGGCCGGCGTGGGAGGACACCGGGGGCCGCGGACGCCGCTCCTCCCGGCCTTCCGTGCGCCCCCGCGCGCCCGCCCGCGGCTCCGGTGCCCGCCCGGGCCGGAGGTCCCGCGAGAAGGGCCGCGTCCTCGGCGTGCCCGGGGCCCGGAGGCCGCAGGTCCCCGCTCGTGGCGCCGGGGCGCTCGGGTTGGGTGGCCAGGCGCCCGCGGGGCGGCCGGCCCTGCGCCTGGAGCTACCGTGCGCTCCGCCTTCTGGTCCCTCCACCGTGGGAAGCCTCGTCCGCGAGGTCAGGGAGGCGCAGAGTGGGCGGGGGCCGAGTCGCGAGTGGGAGAGCGGAACGTGGCGCAGCCGCTCGGCTCGGGGAGGCCCCGCCTACCGCCTCGGCGGGCGCGGCGCCCCCTAGAGCTGAGCCCAGGCTTAGCGCCAACCTGACCGAGCTCGCGGAGCTTACAAATGAATTCATCAAAGGCTCCGCTTTACCTGCCGGGTCAACTGCCTGCCAAGAACGGCGTGACCCTCCCAAACTCATGGCCTAAAGCACCAGCCGTAGGGTGGTTTCCTTTTCGTCAGAAGGCCCCGAGTCCCGAAACCTGTGTGCATGCTCTCTGCGCACAGGTGTCAGTCAGTATAGAGGGGAAAGTTTAGCTAGGCACCAGAGACGAGCTTGAAATGGCCGGTGTCCAGCTGAGGCGAGGCCCAGGGACTGACGATTGACACATTCCAAGGCAGCCTTACTGCGAAGGGAGCGGAAGGCCCCGCTCCCCTGGTTCTCAGGGTTCCTGGTTTCCATAGCAACTCCGCATCTGAAGTTATTGGCCAATCAAGACACTGTCGCACTTGAGGCTTCTCTCCAGTGCATCGTCTTTGCAGGGTCAAGGCCCCAGCCGCCAGGCCAGAACAGCGAGGTTGGAAGAACCGTACTTCCTCGTGGCCTCTCGGTGCGGCTTCTCAGTGTGTGTTCGGGTCTGGACCAGAGAACCAGGTCAGGGAGGAACTCCATAAATGGAAGACAGATTCGCTAGTTTGTTACCATGGAGACATGGAGTAGCCTATGCTAACTTAGACAAACATAGCAGAAGGTACCGACTTGTCCGGACTTCAGTTCCGCTAAAGGGGTGTCCGCCCTGCCCCTCTCACCCACCCTCAGGCCGCGCCGCATGTCTGAGATGCCTAGCACACACAGAGTGATCTCTTAAAGCTCAGGTACCCAAATAGGACTGCTTTCTTCCATCACGTCTGCTCCAGAGACCCGCGGGCGCTCACGGCCGCTGATCAAGGACTTTCTTGGTCAGCACAGGCCTTCTAGAGCCGAGCTCGCGCACCTTTCGGGGCTGCTCAGCCCAGAAGGCAGCACGCAAAAACACTGAGCAGAAGCCACAAAGGAAGTCACTGCATGAGCGTCATGGCACCTGTGTCATTAAACTTTGATCAGACGCACACCTATAACAGAATTCATCAGCAGGGCTGAGAGCCTGGCAGAGGTGGTCGCAGGACACCAGAATGATGTGTTTCTTCAAGCTCTCCTTTGTGAGCATTTTAGGA